TGGAAGAAACGTGTTTGGAAAGTTACCATAAAATTAGAGCTGAAACTAATGATTAATCCGCTAATTGATTAATCTGTTTATTTTTACGATGAATCGAATAATAATCAGATCAGTCAAAGGTTCCTGAAAGAAGATTTTGTACGAAATGAAAGCAGGTGAAACAGAAACGTTTCCTCTTGAGGAGTTCTGGATGGAGAATATTGAAGGACAAAAACTTTTTTTTATCTTAAATGCAAAATGTTTACATATTTTTTTACAATCTTGGTTATAATTCCTGCTCTAAGTGGGTCGCTCTGTCGGCTAAAGGTACATTTTAGTGGCCCTATACTCCAGTTAACGATTAATAAATTACTTAACTAGTTGATCGATTATTTAAATAATCGATTAATATGATTCATTGTTTCAGCCGTCGATAAAATACATGAAATGTGCGACACAGAGTAACTACAGCCCAGATGCTAAACTGTGACATCGTTGCATCATTTCATTGATTAGAGTTTTCAGCCTTCATTGTACAGAGTAGTTCAGGTTAAGTTTTTAACTGAATTCAGTTTGATTTGAAGCTGAATGATTTTTATTAATAAGCTCTTATATTTTGAATTATTCGGCCTCAGCAGATGGCCGCTCACGCTGAGCCTGGTTCTGCTGCAGGTTCCTGTTCAAAGGGAGTTTTTCTCTCCACTGTCACACTGATTTTACTTCTTCTACTGCGGTGAACAGAAACCTGTTTCAGTCCATGACGTCGTCCAGCTGAGCTCATAACAATGATCGTCTCCGTTATCAGGCTATCATCGTCATATCAGGTCATCCTGGATGGGGAAACGTTCTGGAAACATCTGGACCGTCTGGATCACAGCGAAGGTCTAACAGAGGGAGGAACTCATCACCGTTCATCTACGGCCCAGACGGCAGACATTACCTGACAGGAGACAGCCGATGCGTCTGTGGGCCATCAGGCGTTTCCGCACGGCGTTCTCAAACAGACTCCTGATGTTACGCTTCACCGTTTCCTCAGCGAAACCTGGAGAGACGCGTCGGTTTGACTTTAGCTGCAGTGAGGAAGGCTGGGAGCGGAGCAGGCGGAGGACTCACCTGACGACAGTCCCTCCACCGCGTCGTAGAGGGCGTGAGCCGGCTCTCTGGTGCAGCAGTGGAACTCCTCAAACTTGACGGACTGAACTTTGCCGTTCAGCTTCAGGTCGAAGACCTCGTAGTGTCCAGGCAGGAAGGGGGCGATGCTGGCGGCGGTCTCCATGGAGTGGGTGATCTCTGAAAGGCCTGCGATCAGAAGGACAGGTTAGCTGCCGTCCACAGAGACGCTGGACGGTTCCAATCCCTCCGCTGACCTTTGGCCTCCGAGCAGACCGCCAGGAAGCCGTCATCAGTGAGGAACTTGAACAGCGGGCGGACGCCATACGTGTCCCTCCCCAGGTGGACCTTCCTGTTGGCCGTGTCCAGCAGGATGAAGGCGAAGACTCCGTCCAGGAGGGACGCCATCTTCTTGATCCCAAAGCGGTCGTAGAGATGAAGCAGCACCTCGCCGTCCACCCTGGTCTGATAGTCAAAGTCAAACTGCGTCTTCAGCTGAAAGGAAACGGAGCAGAACCAAAACTATCGTCAGCAGCTCTATGATGCACAACATCTGGGTTCAGCTCAGGAGCTGCGGTCCCCAGGGGCCAGGAGGCCCCCACCCTCACATCAACAGGTCAGACAATCAGTCAAACCGTTCCCACAAAGCATCCACATCTCCTGGTCGGCTGCAGAGTTTCCTCTGACCCCTCAAAGCAGCTCAACACCACAATCATCCCTCCACCAAACTTTCTATGGGTCACTGTGGAGTCAAGGTAAGACTGCTGCACCATGAACCCCACTGGCCTCCTCTAAGGTACTGAGCCGGACCCGTCCTCCATCGCCTGCATGTGAAGGTTCTGATTGTTCTACAGCTATAGAGGAGACTGGATCAGCTGTGATGATCTGGAGGGACGGCCAGACCCCTGCTGATCAGGACCTGTCATTCAAATCCCAGATCAAAGAGGTTTCTAGAATT